ATTTCTGGCGACATAAAATTTGTTTCACGATAACAACGCATGGGATCAACCCAGCCTCCAAATACCATTCGACTGAATACAAAAGATGAAAGCACAAAGATGATCAAGCTGAAAAGTCACCGGCTGAAGGGAGGCAGAGTACAGGGTGGGATAGATAGCGGCAGAGTCCGGGGAGGAATAGTTCTGGCTTGTATCTTCTTCACTCACCTGATAGCCTACCGGACTCAGTCCAGATTCTCGGTCGATCTATTTGTGACCCCTCCTCCATCTACTACTACCACTTTGGAAAGCGACTTGGTGCCCCCACCACCTCCCGTAGTTCTCAACACTACGTTCTTTACGTTGCCCGAAGAGGAGCGGCAATTGACCCCCTTGCGATTCGTGGACCGCGAACAGTACACACTTCGAATATTGAGCTGGAAGCGAGCCCAGTTTCTGGCGGCATCGGTATCATTGCATTCTCAATGTCCGGGCGTCAAACAAATTCAAGTGGTTTGGAGTATCTTGCAAGAAGACGACAACATGACGACGACGAATCCAGACGAAATAACCGACAATCGCATCCCTGCAGAAGTGTTGGAAAACCCAAAGGTCGTAGTGGAACGAAGGACCACCAACCGACTCAATAATCGCTTCGATATTCTGCCCACCACTCCCACAAGCACTCTTGGCATTGTCATTTTAGACGATGACTTGATTTACACTTGCGAGGCACTGGATATGGATTCTTTCTGTGGACTCAACATCCCGATCGAATGATCACGTATGCACCCCGACGCCATCTCGTCACAGACGCCTACTCCAACCCTCCCCGATGGCGATATGGGTGGCATCGCAATCAACAATATTCCTTGGGATTGACATCCACGGCGTTTCTACACCGTGATTATCTGCACTACTATACACATTATCTACCAAGAGACATGTACCAGCACATCCAAGATCACATGAATTGTGAAGATATTGCCATGAGTTTGCTTATTTCCAATCTCACACATGCAAAATATCCCATTGCCGTCGACGAGTGGGGGTTCACATCGCGACTGCAGCTCGCTCTCAAAACGGGATATGAAGGAATCAAGGCCGGAAAGAATCATATGCCACATCGATCCAACTGTGTCGATTGGTTCGCCACGGATTTGCAGCTCAAGGACAAGTTTGATGGCTATTCCACCTTTCGAGGTATTTCCACGTTTAATACATCCAACGTTCTTGCACCAGCGCCAACTCCAGGATTGCAACAGATCTTGGCCAATCCACGTTTTCATGCTTTGGAGGAGAAGCGAAGAGAATGGTTGCAACTAGACGGGAGAGAATTTGGCCGAGTAGTGACAGGGATACGGCGGTCCTTGGACCAGTACGCCAAGAGTCGCAATCTGTCATCCGAGGGGCACGGATGAGAGAGGATGCTGACAGTTTGATATGTACCGTACTGTGGTGTTGGTCATGCCATGCTACCCACATTACACATCATGGCAGTAGATGCTCGGCCTTGAGGCCAAAGGGCAGATTGTCTCAAGCAGCCCATAGCTAGTACGTGTAATAGAAATAATTAGATTTGACCACGGCTGACCGTACAATATTGAGTTCTTTTATTTGGTTTGTCCTGTTGCTTCGTCCATGATTTCCGTTCTGGCACCCCGGCAGGGGCTTCCAATTGACCGTCGTTGCTACAAACGTGATGATTGGCTTTGACTCCGCCGCCATCCAAAGTGATCCGATCCCTGCCAACGAGCTTCATCGGTATAGATCGAGCCAGGCAGGACAAATAAATCTGGCCCGAACAACGCAGACAGCAGCTTCGTTTGTCCCGATCATTGTTGGAATACTACTGCACAAACCTGACCAATCTTGTACTGGAAATGCAGGGCCTACTCCAGAGCAAAGGTTTGTGATTGTTTCTATAAGTATGATTGTAGTCCAATCGAATTGACCTCTGTTCCTTTTTCAGTACTGTGAATGCAATTTGGTACTCTATGGCTCAGCTTTCCTTGTCAAAATTGCTTCTTGGTCCTGGGTAGTTGAATGAAGTCGTGCACCTCTTGCCTTCTATTTTCTATAGCGTGATATTGGAAGGACCGTCGCATCATCGTCATGACCAGAGAGAAGGCTCCAACAAATGGAAAAGGGTTGTGTTGTACTGTACCAATGTGAAGGCTGATGACTTCCTCCAACCGCACGGCACGAGCCACTGTGTCTCTCATACCTCCGCTGACTTTCGTGGTCGTCTGAGGACGAAAACGGAACCCTTGTGCCCTCGTGTAATGCGAATGTCGTCGTCAATGTAGTCAGTCACCAACCATCCGGTCGGACCTAGCAATCCAAGCGGGAAGTTGATGTCGATGGGACTCTTGGAAATGATCAAGCGACACGCTTGAAATTTGACATTGACTCGTCTGGCATTGCTGGCATGGGGAGTAATATCAATATCCACCGTAAGCGAAGCACGACGGGTGTTGGACGCGTCCGGGAAACCAGGAACAGCAAAGGTGACAATATTCCGAACCCGGCGTTTCTGCAGGTCTATGGATTGTGTGCTCTTGACATTGGCAAGTTCTTGGTCGATGCGGATGAGACCCATCCGCTCCAATTGATCTTGCACGGCACGTGGTAAAACTGGGTTGAGTCTCCCTGAGCTTCCATCTGGATTGTTGGAATACGATTGGTCTTCAATAGGACTTTACGCATGGCAAGAAAAGAAATGTATGGTTAGCAAGGTAGCATAAAGGGATATAAAAGGCAGATTGATTGGTTAGTTAGCCAGGAGCAAGCAAATGAAACACGGTCCAGCCCGGCCAGCCCAACCCAGCCACCTTTGCACTTACTTTATCCAAGTAAACAAAGGTCCTAGCGTATTGTACTCTTCACTGGATCTATCTTGAGCAGTCCAGAGCAATTCCCAAGTTCCTCCCAACTTGCCCAGTACGTCTTGGTCCGGCGTGGGACACACCTGCTCGAGCCGTTGTATCGCACCCAATATATAGTTGGTAAAGTCTGGAGAAGTGGGTGCATTCGAGGGAGTTGATCCCAAGAGATTGAACAGCTCCTTTCGTCGCGACGCTCTTTCTTCTTCGGCCGATGCCGATATCGAGGCAGAAGATTCCTTGGAGGCAAAAGAAACCACAAGAGGCTTTTTCGCAGTTAAACGGCGGCTACCTGTTGATTCTGATACCAGAAACGCCAATGTTGAGCATGGGATCATCAGCAATAGAGCTGCTAAGACGGCCCTTGTGGTGGCTGGAGCGCGGAAATGCACCATGTTGCTGCGGTAATCTCTGCTTTTCCCTACGGTCGTACCAATACGTATACTTCTATAAGACACACAAACAAAACACCACCTGAATGGATCTGCAATCGTGTCCTTGCTTCGGTGTCTTTGCTTCAGTGTCCTTGCTTCAGATTTCGCAGCCAGGCGAAATCCTCGTCCACCTGCCTGCTGCCCGAATGATCATATCCATATAATGTCCTCTTCCCTATTGCCCCTGAAAAAGGTTCGACAACTCGTTCCGCGGCAAAATATCCCAGCTTTGGCTGTTGCAAAAGATCGCACAGTACCAGGTAATAAGCCAGTTTTACTGGTACCGGTAGCGGTGAGTTCCCAGTGCCTCTCTCCCTCTTGATGAACCCCAAACACGATCCTGGCCTTGAGTGGAACGTTTCCGGCAACGTGGCCGCTGTTGGCAGACAAAAAAAAGACCCATCCACAGGATAAGCCTTCATGATGCTCACATAGCACTCTCCGTGTGACTGACACTGAGATAGGGTCAAATAAAATTGCAAGCTCTCGATACTAATTGTTGCCATCAAGGTGCCCGCCCTACAGCGAGAGGTGCAGAATTCTGCTGCCGAGGTGCGAGCCCTAGAGGTGCCAATTTCTTGCCACCAAGGTGGACGTGCAGAATCTTTGGTCAGAATATCTGCCACCGAGGTGCGAGGCCCTACCGGTAGAGGTGCAGCATTTTTCCACCGAGCGAGGCGCTCTCCCTTTGGTTCGTACCGTGGCGGTACCTTTGGTTCGTACCGTGGCGGTACCACTGGTACATCGTACAGTAGTACCAGGTACCAGGTACAACGGTGAGAGCTTGTTTGTGCCGGAGAACCAAACTGTTGAGTAAGTCTCAGCAAACCTAGAGTACCGGTAGTGTGAAGCTCCGCGACCAGCAAGCACTTCCCACTCTTGAGAAGAGGTTGGCGTGGGAGTCGATTTATCCATCCTGCGTCACAATGACGTCAGCTGACGAAGATCCAAAAATCCTTTGGGAAGCACTTCGACGAACCACACAACAACACAACACCATCCTCGAGCATCCCCATATCCAACGATTGCCTCATCATTCCCATCCATACACTCAAGTTAAAGATGTTGTCCAACGCGTTGAGGAGATGCTCTACAAGGTCCTCGCTGATCCTTGGTGTCAGCCGCACAGCCGTTCGATCGTCGTTGGTGGCGGCGGCCAACAACAACAGCCATCTCGTTGCTGTTGGCACGAATCCAAGATTCTTGTCGTCTGATTCTCATGACGATTTCGCTCCTCAAAAGAAGGCCACTGTGGACGGTGAAGAAGAAGCTATTGCCATGATTAAGAGCCATGTGGAAGGCAACCGTGTCATGCTCTACATGAAGGGCAACCCCAGTATGCCCATGTGTGGATTTTCCGCTCGTGTGGTGGACGTGCTCAAGAAGGAAGGTGCGGATTTCAGCTCCGTTAATGTTCTTGACTATCCCGCCATTCGAGAAGGTGTCAAGAAGTTTTCCGAATGGCCCACCATACCTCAATTGTACGTCAATGGAGAATTCATTGGTGGATGTGATATTATCACTGCCATGCATGAAAGTGGGGAGTTGAAGGAGGTTCTGGAAGAAGAAAAATAATAACCAAGTTCAATCAATCAATCAGCATTGCACGGTACGAGAAGACTGGATCAGTCAATCAATCCACAATGAACATTCAGACAGTGAAATGAATTAAAATAGAGAAAGTGACACTACCTGAGGAAAAATAAATGAAGAGGTTCCAAATTGATGGAATAATTGGAGTTCTTGATTTTTTAGTCGTTAGCCAGTTACACTGCACATTGTTGTGCGTTTATGCGGTTCACTTGGGCTCCACTTGTAGTTCTTGCTTTTCCAATTCCTCGCGCTCTAGGCTTTTTTCACTTGCTACCAAGTCAGTTCCTAACTCGCCATCTCTCTAGAGAAATTCAAAACGTTCTGGATTCGCTTGGTTGCTGAGGTCTATCCTATAGAAACTGGTGGGCCTGTCGTATCGGTACATTCCTCCTGGTAGATACATCGCTGCAGTTTGTGTGAAGACCACCTGGACAGAATATGGTACAAAACTATTGTTACATGCATGTACGTAGCTATCCGATGAAGCAAAATCCGGTCAACTACGGAAGATCATTCTCCACGACCTGTCCTCCCAGCATTTTCACCATGACCGAGAGGTACCGGGAGTAGCCACCGGTCGATCTCATGAACAGTTTGGCATGACTCATAAAGTAAAAATCGAGATCGGGGTCACCAATATCCGTTCGCAGTTCCACCTGCTTCCCCGCCAGTGCCAGCCCTCGACTGAGACAGCCCGCATAGACCCGCGAATTGGCAAACTTGTCGGGTTTGTGCGAGCCTCCCACGAGCACAACTTTGGTAGCATTGGCCTTGTCAATTTCAGCCAGATACTCGTCCACGGAGAAAATGGAATGAATCGATTTGAAATTATTGTGCTTGCCCGATCCTCCATATCGCAGCATCTTGTCGGGTCGATACTGTTCGTCCACTTGTCGAGTGCGTCGCTTTCCCGTGCCTTCCATGACATCTCCGAGCCGTAAATGAATGACCAAGGCATCTGGATCAGGTTTGATGAATGTGTCTCGTTCCCCGAACAGTTGCAACATGTCCTGGACAAAGGTAAAGTTCTTTCGTGTGGGGCACATATAGTGTCCATAGTGACCAGCCATGGTAGCGGAATAATCCTCTCCCACATTTGTGGCAGTGTGGTCGGGATGGCCCTGAGGCGTGGCGCATCGGTCATCGCATGCCTACCGTACGGTAGGCAAGAGTTGAGTGTTGTGTGTGTGTATACAAGGAAGGAGAAAAAGTCAGGTGCATTTCACAGAAAAAGACAAAAGAAAAAGTGCGAGTGGAACCATTCTCAAGTTTCAATTATCCATGCCACTTTCGCAGTTCATGTTGGATGACTCGATTGATTCATTCTCACCTTGATGCAGTCTCCCAAGGCGTAATTGACGCGGTTCGTAGGAAAGGGTTTGACAATGGTGGCATCTTTGGCAAGCATCTTGGCACAGGACGTGAGCCAACTCCCACTTGGCCGGAAATGCTCGAGATGTTGATAGTCTTCCAGTGTCAATTGCGGATAAAACTGAGATGGATCAAAAGAACCACCAATTTTCTGTAGCACCGTCGATCTATCTTCCTTCTGGTGTGGCTCTATGGACTGTAGTGGTTCTATTGCCAGCGCGTCTGCTGTTTGTTCAATAGTAAGCGGTTCTTTCTCTTGCATGGCATCAGTTGTAGTGATTTCTTGCCTCCTGCTTGTCTGACCCGTGGTGTTGTTCCCCCCTTCCACTCTTGCCGCTGTCGGGACTGTGGTTGTGCCCTCCATTGTAGATTGTTCTACGAGAGCCTCCAGCGATGTTCGAATCGCCCTGAGCTCCTTGGAAATTGCCGTGGATGACATACTGTCACGCTCTTGTAGTAACTGCTCTTGCAGACTCTCTAGCTTGTGCAGTATCGATGGCATCATTTCGTTGCCAAGTTGTGTCGGTGTCGACAATTCCGCATTCGTTTCAAAGACGCCCCTTTGGTTCAGCTTGCGAAGTCCGATCACTTCCAACACCAGAGTCGTAACACCCAGCGCTACCAGCACAAAGGCGCACATCATGAATGGCGAACTCGAGGAGCATCTTGGCGCCATGGCTCGATAGAGGTAGTTGTTGAGGAGGCAGAGAGGGAGGAATATTGTGCTGGAACTGGCGAGGCTCCAAGCGGTTCAGTCGCGTCAAGTTTAGGCCCTCTCCGTGTCACGAGTGAAAGTCGAGACTGGACGAGTCGAGTCGGAGTCCAGTCCCCAGTGGCGTCAATTTTACGAGCGGACGTCTTGGGACTTGGGACTATTTGATCCACGGTGCATCATGTCACATCCAGCAAGCAAATGCGATGTGCTTCGGAGTCTCACGAAATCATGCAAGTGCACACCTCAGCTCGGATACGGAAGAAATGATTGGAAGATGCTGTACGAATCACCCATGAATCTTCTTATTACTTACGAGAAAACAGCTTCGGGATCGTCTTTCTCATATCACAAAAGGAAGGATGGAGGCTGCTGGAGTGGGTTATGGAAGCACGGACAACGGAAGAGATTCCAGTTGGGAGTTTCCCCGTCGGGACGATGAAGTGGGGAGGCCTCCTATATTCAGACAGATAGCCATTGGTAGCTTCTGCTTGGCTTTGGTTCTTGGATTGATTGCATCGCAACACCAACGCCCAGCGATCTTGCCAGAAACACTCAAAACCGGATCCATGGTCACCGACAACTCGGAAGCTGAGATTGGATCGATTTCTCGAGCTGAAAGCCATGACGAATACTATCTTCATGACCCCAGCAAGGCGCTGTTCTTTCCGCAGATTGTTGATCACAGCAAACCAAGCTCTGGAACATTCCAACAGCGCTACTACGAGAATCGAAACTACTGGAGAGGTCCTGGACACCCCATCTTCTTGATCTTTGGGGGGGAAGGACCTTTGGAAGGTATTCTATATCCCTTCGTTTCTGAAGTGTTGGCTAAACGGTTTGGCGCTGTGACTCTTAATGAGGTAGGGCACCTTGGATCCCCCCGATCACAACTCTATCATGCTGGCAAGCATACGACTCACATACCACCTTTTCTTGCAATTCCCCAGGAGCACAGGTACTTTGGAGTGTCTTTTCCTGTCGAGCAGCCCACCCCAAAAGAAATTGCCGAGCAGCTAACCCCGCGACAGACCCTCCAAGATGTAGTGAATCTGATTCAGTACAAGCAACGCGAATTGGGCTGTGGCCCTCGGGGATCGCCCACGTACTGCCCAGTCATGACCGTGGGTGCATCCTATGCGGGGCTCTTGTCTGTCTTGGCTCGGAAAACATATCCCGACGTGGTGGACATTGGTTATGGTGGCTCTCCTTGTTTGTTCTTGTTTGGGCATCGGGTGAGTCCCTATCACTATTATGAGCAGATTACGTTGGTTGCAGAGAGGATTTCCCCGGGCTGCCCCGATGCTGTGCGAGACTTTGTGGAAGACACCCAAGAAAGGTTGCAGTCCATCAAAACTGGATCCCAGGATATCATGCATGAGGCTAAGGAGTACGGAATCTGCCCTCATACTCTCCCCAAAGACATGGATGGCCCAGGTCTCGCAGAGTTCCTGATTGGCATCACCGTGTCCTACTTTGGCAACACTTTGATGGACTACTACCCTCCCGGTCCGGAGGCTCAGTTCTATCAGGGCTGCAAGATCCTCCAGGACCAATCTCAGACCTTTCCAGAGAGGATAAATGCTTACATTCAGGCAATGACGAAGAAGTCACAATGTCTCTCTATCGACGAGTACGACGAGGAGCAAGATGACCTTTGGGGCGCCGTGTGTTGCTATCTGAACCCACAGATTGGCAAGAGCAACGCCACTATGTGGCCACCCGCTGAGTACCATCTTCAAGATGACGAGGAGTACTGCCGCGAAAACTATGGAATTGACCTCGACCCCCACTATCTGGACAAGGAATTCGGACTCAATGATTTGTCCGGTGTCACTCGACTCATCTTGACGAATGGTGCCAATGATGGTTGGTTCCCTCTGTCTTATACCGAGCCTCTTCGGGACAATCCCGACATTGCAGTCTTCACCATGGAAAATGGTGTCCACCACTCCGAGCTAACCCATCAACTCCAAGTCGATACCCCCGATGTGGAAAGAGCTCATCAGCAGATATCTGACCAGATTGCAGTTTGGTTGAATGAGATTTTCCAGAACAACAACTAGAGTTTTCAGGCCTGAATTACGTTAGAGATATACTACCGGTACGAGGACACATACACATTGTTGGCTGATGGATTTTCCCGACGGCAACTCGCTAGAGCTGTGATGCTTCCAGTCGCCTCATGAATAGAGATACAGAACACATACACGAATAGGGTAGATCAATTACATGCGCAGATTTAGACGTTCCGATACCAAGTCTTACTGAATGCCAGCCTTCGTAGCTACAAGGCATCACCAAAGCGGTTCTAAAGGTACGGTGTTGCAGGATCCAGCAGATGTTTGGTCCGTTGTGGAGTGGAGGGAAGCAAGAAGGCTCGATTTGCATTCTTTTGCGCGTACCACGGCCACACGGTGCAGCATTCGTAGCGATGAGCTTTCACGTACTAGCTAGTAGCTACGGCAGGGTACAACGTGTCCTACTTCGCTGTTTGAGGTGGCAGCAGAAAGCAGAAGCCTAGGATCTGCACATCAGGTCTTGGACGCATGCAAGAAAGTCACGTGGGAGATTCATCATTCCTACAAATAGTCTAGATCTTCTGGCTGGCAACTCGAACAGTCAGTACCAGGTAGCTTGATTGGGGCCGATGCAAGTACCGAATTGTACATGACCAAAGTAGTAGTATTACTAGCTAGTTGTTGTAGTCTTTTGACAAAGATGACAAAAACTGGTGTGATCTAATTTGCGGGTTTTACTCTCTAGCAGTATACGTAGTACATGTATGTATGTTTTGCATGATGGCTGCTTTGCGTTGCGGTTGTATGTTGTATTGCTTGCTTGCTTAGACTTTGAAAAAGTCCTTGATAGTCTTTCTCTTGGACTTTCGCTTGACAATGGGAATGCCCCAGTACCGTGTGGATTCATCGTCACTCTCGCTGTCACTGTCAATGAGACTCTTTTGCTGTTTCTTCATTGTTGTTGGATGTGCGGCTGAAACTTCCAAAGACTCCATGTCCCGCAGCAGATTGGGTTGATTGGACAGTGCGTAAAAGACGGCATCCAACGAATTGCCACTATTGGCATCAATCATGGCATTGAGGTAGTCTCGTTGCGTTCCATTGTGACTGTGCAACAGAGCGGGCAATTTGGTGGCATTCAACTCCAACTTGAGTTTGGCGTCTTTGGTGAGTAGATACCTGTCGCGATTTTCATCCAAAATGACGAGACTTTGCAATACGTGATTGTGTTGGAGGAGGACCTGTTCGATGGCCGATTGAAAGGCATCTTCGAGCGGTTCATCGAGATGCATGTCGCGATCCAAACAAATTTTGAGCCGCTTCAACGTGTTATTCTTTGTCAGCGCGTGCAAGATGGGTGCCGCATGAGTGGACGTGGCAGTATTTCCGCCCGTGAGTTCGACGCACAAACTGGACAGCCCCGGGTTGCGTTGGAGAATGGATGCGACCGTGTGACCGGCCGTCTTCCATGTGCGACCGAATTTGAGTGTCAGCGTCTTGATGGTGCAGTTGTTGGAATGGAGGATGAAAATGTCGGCCATGGCTTGTCCGATTTGTTGTCCATCTACGGTGGTACTGGCACTGGTCATGTGCAATTCCTGCAATTGGCAGGTGCCGCGCAATTGTTGTTCGGAGAGAGCCATGCAAAAGGAGAGGGCATTGTCCGTCGTGAGATCGGCCAATTCTTGAATGGTCAGTGACTGCAGTGTGGTGGAAGCGCCCAAAATTTTCCATGGGTTGACATCCGTAGTAGTGCAGCGCTCACCCAAGGCACTGTAGCGGAGTTCGAGGCGTTTGAGGGAGGGCAAGTGTGCCATGAAGGATTGAATGGCGACGCCAGTGCAGCGGAGAAAGCGGACGTGTTGCAGGCGATTGTGTGTCTTGAGCACTTCGTCGAGTGCTTTGGTGTCGCCGACCAGGTGAATGTTGATCAAGTGCAATTCTCGTAGGGCCTTGGCACCTCGGAGCAACGCCGTCAATGCGGCCATGGGGACCTTGAGGTCGGACAAATCGACAGTGATGCTTTGGAGGCGAGGAAGTTCTCCCAAGAGAGAAAAGACTTCGACAAGAGCAAACAAGTCCATCTTGACAGAGCCGTACCATACACAGGATTCGGCATGGATCACGGCGGTCTTGACACTCTGATGAAGTTTGGGAGTTTCGCGGAGGACTCGGAGGGCAGGAAGCGCATCATTGCGGGCCAAATCCACAATCATGGAATCATTGGAAGGAGATGCCTTGGAGTCGGCGGCGGGCATGGGGTTGGAACGGTGCCGTCTGAGGAGGGTGGTCTGTAGGAGCTTCATGGTGGAGGTCATGGTGGTAGTGAGTGGATAGTGTAGAAGAAGAATTGTTTTTATGAAAGGAGCAAGTTGGTTTTGTGTGTGTTCCAATTTTTGTTCTTTATCTTGTGAGAAGCGAAGCTGCTTGGCTACCTTGTGCTTTTCGGATCTACTAGTACTCGATCGATGGCCAGTGTTTCAGCGTTTCAGCAACCACCACATCAGATTTACGTACCGCAGGTACATCACCGATACTTTCCCTGGCAAAAGTACTAGTATGCATACATGTACCAGGGGCTTGTCATCGTACCGTAGGACGTCGTGGACATTTGGCAAGCGTGGTAAACGGTACTTCAACTGTACAAAAAAGCCACGGGGGGGGACCCTCAGAGAATAAGCCTCCGAACAAGTGGAGCAAACCAGGACTGTGACTTTGTCCGTCTTTACCCTCAATGGCCGAAGAATGGCAATTGGGGGAATATCAACAAAAGCACCTGTTTTGTACTAGTCTACAGTACTGTACTAGTGTAGTATGTACAACTAAGAATACTCCAGTACAAGCTATTTTAATACTCAGTAGTACACTACTAGGAATACGTACTCCGGACTCCGGAGAACTCAGTTGGAATTGTTTTAAAATAGAAAAGACTTTAATTAATACAGTAGCTACCCGACTGTACCTGGCAATCTGGCAATTGGGAACTATTTATTTATGAAAGAAAAGCACCTGTTATGTACTGAGTACGAGGAATTAGAAAAAGACTACCCCGAACCGATTAAGACCGGTAAATTTGAGACACACTTTCGGAAATAGACGACAAAACATGGACTACGGCAAGCGTGAAGTTGAACTGGTAACAGAAGGTTCATCGACCTTATCACCGCACAGTGGAAAGTTCTCTTTTGAGCACTTTTTTTGTTTTAGAGTGAAGTCACGGTCCTAATCTGAATGGTCAAAGCAGATCCGAAATGGATTATCCATCAACATCTCCTTCAACAGTGTCCCTAATTCTATTGCCACCACCATTTTTCCAGCTGTTTAATCTAAAGCCAAGGGAAGTTTGAAAAGATACCAGAGACTGGGTAAATATATATTTTAATAAAAACCATATATGCTTGAACCCCCTGTATCGTTGGTCCTATCTATTCTTGGATGTTTGACTATTGGTAGAGTAGTTGAAGATTCATGCGCTGACGATCCTTTACCGTACGATCCAGCTGGAAACGAGTCTCAATTGCCATCCCGTCGCTTTCGACCATCGTTCTACAGCTGTTCCACCGAACCATCCTTCTTGCAATGCCGCGTTGTAAGCCCCATAGTTCTGTTCATCGACTGAGAGGAAAGCCGACAAAACGACCACTACCGCTTTTCCTTTACTCTCAAGGTACTGTACAAAATTTAATGCACAGAGAAGATGATGATGCTGAAATCTTCCAGCACCTAAAAAAGTGCCTCTCTTTCAACAGAACTAGCTAGCTAGCTAGATTTGCCGAGCTATTTGCCAAGAGAATGAGAGCTCCTTGTTACAGTGTGACTAATAGTCTAAAGTGTAAAGCTCACTACTAGCTAGCATGTACTAGCTAGTAGGCTCGAAGCTGAAGAGGCTCTTGATGATGCTCTGGCCTCTGGCCTTCATGTTGGGCTCATGATGCTCCGCCCTCATCTTGATTAGCTAGCAAGTACCTGCTAGCTAGATGGCTACTTTAGTGTGAGCAATACTGGACATAGAATTGTAGGATCGCCATACCGGTGATGTTTCCTACTGGACACACAGAACCCAGTGGTAAACGGTACACCGGTGCTCATAGTAGCTACACCTTCTGCTGGAAAGTGGTCAACTTCACTCCATTGGGAGGAGAATGCCAATTTCGGAGGAACAGTTCTTCTGTGTGAGACCGTGAGACCGGTACGTTGTCTTTTCATCCGTTTTCCATTCATCTGGGGACTTGACTCAATTGCAACAACCCGACTTGACCCAACTCAACTCACTCAACCACTCGAAACTCGAAACGGTCCAGCATCCAGCAACAAGGAGAGATGGTTCCACGGCTCCTCCTCTAGCCCTCCAGAAAGCCCAATAACCAATACCACATGTACATGTACATGCACTACCGGTAGTACCTATACTGTAGTAGTTTGGAGTACTGGATACGGTACCGTAATGGTCAAAGTCCAAAAAGAAGCCTCGGATTTCTCCTTCTCCTCCAACCCAGCGTGATTCCTTACTTCCTTTTTCGTTTGGCCAATAATATTATTTTCAGCCTGTTCCTTCAGCTTTTTCCGTTTGGCCATTATTTTCACCCAGTGGTTGTGCCTTCGGTCACAAGTACATTACATTTACCTGGTATGGATGTACGACTGTACAAGCTTCGGATCCATCCAGCATCCAATCCTTCCACATGGCCACATGCCCACTTTCAGCTGTCCAGTCTTTCAAGTTGTGTCCACCTTGGATCTTTCGATTCTCTTAGAAACCCTACCAGTCCGACTGTACGAGCTCGCGTTCACTAAACTACTGGAGGAGTAGGTTTTGACTGCTGTTTTGACCATCAAGATCAAGCCACTAGCTAGCTTGTGACGAACATGCTGTCTGAATTCGTGCTTATTATTTCATGATGTTGATGTGCTAAAGCCAAAAGGAACTGTGCACCATCTCTTCGCCTTCTCGTGAACCTTCTCTTTCGGATCGTGTCTTGGCCATTACGCCATGACACAATCCTGACTCACCAATACTCGAATACTCGTACATGTATGTAGTGCTGTACACGACACTCAGAGTACTTTCTCAGGCCACCTCCCCAATGGTCAACCTTTCTGTGGAGGGGATCCAAGAACCTTTGTTTTGACCATCAAGCTACAAGTACTGGAGTAGAGGACACAATACCGGTACCACAAGGCCAGGTAACGCCTGATTGTTCCACAGTGTCGCCTTTCACGTTCAAAGACATTGTAGGCGCGCTTCTGGACTGAGCTCGTGCTATGGATACTGGCTGGCTGTTGCGGGGTGGGGTGGAGAAACCTACAAGTGCCAACGTCCCCATTAGACTGGGCATGGGGTTGGCAGGTGTCTGTGGAGAGGGCTTTGCTAGCTAAAGGGGTTGGCGGTTGGCAGTAGTTGCGAGCTTCGAAAGCTAGCTGCTAGCTGCTAGCTAGCAAGGCGAAAACAATGGTAAAAAGCAAGACGTTCGCATTGGTGAGCTTTCTCAAGCTCTCCATTCTTAACGATGTATCCTATCGACCGGCGCGCATCGCTCAACAACACCAAAAATCGAGCAAAAGCTGCTATCAAGATGGTACCTCTTCTCGGTCTCTTCAGCGATAGCTACCATAAACAAACTTGTTCGGAAAATAGTAGAGAAGAGGAAGAGACTTAACCTGCCACTCAGAGGTGCTCAGCAAGTCTTATACGGCCGTATCGCCGATTTTGCCTCCTATTTGCTGATTCTGTTATCTCTAAGGCTACAGCGCCCCAAAGGTGGCAGACAAGGGCTCTTTGCCACTCAGAGATATATAAGAGAGAGTACCCAGAAGCAGAAGGTGTCTGCTCAGGCACAGCAAACGTTCTTTGAAGTCGTGCAGCAGCGGCTTTAGCTCGATTTTCCGTGTTGTCGAGCGAAAAAAGCCTGGCGACGTCGCCAGACCTTAGGATACATCGTTAACTGACCTTCGCAGCTTCGTACCTTCGCGGTACCCAATATTGAAGTGGTACTCAAGAAGCCAGTTTCGTTTGGCGAAGAAGATTCCAACCTTCTCGCACCTTCGCCATAACGCGCATGGGGGTTCACAACTTGGGTATCTTTTGATCACTATGTTTTCCGTCGCCTACTTCTAACGCCAACCAACATGATGATCAACTGTAATGAAATTTGCGACCTGCAACTATCACACAGAAGAACAGTCAGGCACTTGATGATAAATAGCTTTACATTAGATCTCCAAAAAGATAATATATAGTCAATTTCGTAGGCCAGTTTGTGTTCCTCCTCTCTCTTTCCTCTCTCTTTCGCCTCCTCTTTGTAGCAAACATTGTGTAGTCAAAAATGGATCCCTTTGTGCCCGTAAGTTGTTCACAAGTTGACTCGAAACGCCCACATCATTGTAGAGACTAGAGATGGAGGACTCCTCTGTGGATGAGGAAGTACTGCCGCTCCCCGTTCAGGAGGTTGCAAGTCCAGTGGATTCGTCGGAGGATGATGTTGATGATACTCATCGCGACGCCCCTCATCGTCAATCTTGGAGCCAATTGTGCGGCCAACACCACCGCTGGTACATCAACCGAAAACAAGAAGAACACCCACTGCCCTCCCCAACAGTGGCTTCTGCTCTCTGCTCGATACTCCACCAGAGGGCTTTCATATGAACATACACGGTGACCAGCACAGCTTATGGCAGACTAGTGCCCCTGGTTTCCCAGTAGAGGTTACCGTTATATTCTGACGCTGAGTCAATTGCCACCACTGCGGCCACCACCACTACCACCACCACCACCACCACCACCACACCACCACACCACCACCACCACACCACACCACCCACCAGGAACATACAACTCTACTGAGCACGCACAAACTAATGTTGATGAGACATCTTCCGGCAAGCCACCGCTGGTTCCAGCCAGGAAAAAAGGAGAACAAAGAACTTCCCAATGAGTTGACGGGCTTTACCTATGAGCACAAACACCGTGTTGAGATCTCGGAGGATCTTGAGAGCCGTTCCAAGACAGACAAAGGTCCACACAAAGTAGCAATAGGAATCCGTGTTGGAAGAGAAGGCACTGACAGTTATCGCTATTTCGATTTGAGGAAAGATCTGAATTCTTCACAGTTGCGACAGCTTGCAAAGAACTTTGGTTGCAAGAACATTGGATCTGCCACTATGTTCGCTTGTCGGGAACAGATGGATTTGGCTATTGAAATGGGCGCTACTTATGACAATATAATGGTCCCAAGCACTGTGTCGACATCTATGGAAAAGAAGATCCAGTTATTGGTCCGGCTGGTCAGTACTATTTTTCTTCCCTTGTACATTGATCGATTCCTTGCTCTGCAAAGATGTTTGACAAGAACGCTTTCGAAAGTGGGAACAGTGGTCAAAATCCCACCAAGAGCTTCTGGAGTGACATCTCTGTATCTTACAACGACGCAGAACAAAACGAAACACTTGGCATTGTCCTGTACTCCGATCCTAATGATCCAAACAATGACGAGTATCTCACAGCAGCCGTGGAGGGACAAGCAATCAATGCCAACGATTTCAACAACATGTCGGCA